GACAGCACTCTACAAGGCTTCTTGGGAACAGACCCAGCATCCAGCGCCCTCCTCTGCCAGGCGCCTTCAGAACCAACGGCAACACTGTTCGGCGCCATCTTAGACTGTCCAGGTTACCAGGAAATGGAAAACTCGCTTCTGTGCAGTGGATGTGGGTGAGTCCATGAAAGTCACTTCCTTCAGAATTTCCTTATCTGCTCAGGTCCCTGTGAGGCGGGACTGTCCTTTCCCACGCCCCGCACAGCTGAGGGTCTACGGCTGAGATCCTGTGGGCCCTGAGCCTCACGCCTCAGGAATCCAATATGTCGCTCGACAGCGCTGTGGTGGTTAAGGCACTGCCTCTTTACTTCATGAAGGAGGCAGAGTTGTTTGTGCACAATGTACATTTTTCACTCATTGTTCCACGGTTTAATAACAGCTGTGGAAAACTGAGTCATTAAACAGCCTCAAAGATGGTGAAGGCTGAACATCTTATGACTCACGGCTCTGGTACAAGAACATTGAGCTCAAACAATAGGTTCCAAAATGTCCCCTGCAGAGTGGCACGTGGCTGGGAGCATCATTCCGTCTGAGAACGTCCCTTAAGGGGGCAGCGGCCAGCAGCGGGCTGCCAGACTGAGTTCAGAAGAGCCCAGGAAGGTGGGTGTTCTGGTGGGTGCTGACTGGGTTCAGGACAAGTGTTCTTTCTTTCTCTAGGTTAATTTTGTAGAACTACAAAATACTAAATAAATGACCTTCAAAAGAGCTCTCTGCAGTAAAATATGAACTTATATGACCGGATCCTGCTGTTGGCTTACATGCCATTGTTTGGCATGTTTGAAGGAAAGATTGTGTTTTCTGGTGTGACACAGCCACAGAGACCAACACAGAGAGACGCAGAGGCAAGATGAACAGCCACCATCAGCAAGCAGGGCAGACCTGGGCTGGTTTCGGCTAGTGAGAACACAGGTAACTCTCCTCTGTACTGACTTCAGGGCCAGACTCACCCCCACAGCACCAGTTCCCACAGTGGGGCGCCCTTCTCCTCTAACACGTCCAGGGGGCTTTCCCGGTGGGCGAACAGCTCTGTCCTGCTCCAGGCCTGAGCGCAGCTGAACAGTGGCCTTGCAGGAAGGGGAAAACACTGAGCTGGAGAAAGGTGCCAGGATCTTTGCCGCCTGCTCCTGAGAGCTTGGGCAGGGCTCAGGGGCACTGAGCCTGCAAATGGGCACGGGCCTTCTCCTCAGAGCTCCTTGGGTGGGAACCTGCCCGGTACAGGGCCTGGTCTCTCCTTTTGGAGCTTCCCTCTGAGGGAGGAGAGAAGCAGGCAGTTGAATCATGCTGAGAAAATGCAGATCCAGCCCCTTAATCATCCACTCTCCCCAGAGAAGGACAGATGCCCATCCTGAGCCAGACCAGGGCCACTGAAAGCTAGTATTCCCACGGCGCAGGCACTGGCACCGACAGAGAACGTGGACGTGTGTATGTGTGTGGTGTGCATATGTGGTCTACACTATCTAGGTGGCTGGAGTCCCTGGGGCACAGACGTGGCTCCCACTGACCTTGCCACTGCCCAGCCCAGGCCTCTGTGCCTGGCACTTGTGTGTAAGTGCCAGCATTGACGGTGGCAGCCCTCATCTGCAACTGCAGACACGAGAAGCTGAGTCTCTGTGACTCACTGATGTCAGCGCCACAGACCTGTCCAATGTCCTGCTCTCCTGTTTCTGGAGCAGCCCAAAGTCCACGGGGCTGTTCATGGTGTGTGTGACTCCCAGCTGGTCTCATGGCTACCAGTGGGGTGTGAGGCCAGCCAGCCAGCTCGCCAACCTGCCAGCTGGGAGCAGGGGCCTCTAGCAGGCTGCTTGCGTAGCTGTGTGGGCTGTGTGTGTGCGCGTGTGTTTGACGTGCACATGTATGCACAAAGTCCTTTAAGGCAGGTGAGGCTCAGGGATGCTCCTTCTTGCTGCCCACCAATGCTCTGTAAGCTGGTTTCACGGAGAAAGGGAGCAGTCACCGTGCCTTGATTGGCCCCTTTTGTGTTGAGGGCCCTCTCCCACTCGCGTCCGGCCAGACCCTCGCTGGGCAGACCCCTGGCCACGGCAGCAAGCAAGGCCTTCTCTCGGGGTTCAGGGCCCACCCTGCTGTGTGTGGCAGGAGCTCTCAAATCTGCTCTGAGAGGCTTGGGGTATCCACCTTTGTAGGCTGTGGTTGGGTACAGTAATTAAAACACACACACATTGCACACGTGACAGTGCCATTTAACACTTTTTCTGACAGGGTAGCCTGCTGTATTCTAATAATCACCGGAGAGCTCATTTCAAATTTTCATTAAAAATCACAGTTCAAAAATAAGTCTAGTGACAAAAGGGAGCTTGACATGGAGGGAGAATATGGTGCCCTGCTTCACCAACGAGTGGGCTCCCTGGGGAACCTGGGCTTCCAGCAGTCCCCTCTGTGGGTGGCATCCAGGTGGTGCTGGCGAAACTGTGGCATCACTGTCCAGCCAGTAACAGCCAGGTTGGTGACAGCAAGCATGGGTCGAGTGGAAAAGAGGTGTGTGATAATTTAACGACTGCATGGATCACCTTTCTGTCCCAGATTCCATCAGTCGCCGCGAGACAAGATGTTTGTGGCATCAATACAGTCACTACTGGCAGAGCAACCCCTGTCTGAGATGCACCTGTATTCCCTGCTCGACAAGGACCAGAAGACCCTGCAGGTGGGCTGAGCCCGACCCAGGTGAAAATACAACAGCAGCACTGGGCCATGTGGGTGTGAAAATCCAGCCCAAGCTCCCAACCCCCATAAGAAGTACTGAGACGTTCCCCAACCTCCAAATTTAATGCTTTCCCATTCTCAGTCGTAAATTAAGCTACCCTTTCCCACGCACCCTCCCCTGACCCTGGGGAGCGGGAGTGACTCCTGGCTGCAGGTGTAGCTGGATCGGACACGCACACACGGCCACTGGCCGCCATGGGAATTCCACTCTGGATGGAGGAAAGCAGGGGAGGGCGGCGGCCTGGGCTGGACTTGGGGAAAGTCGGCCTTCCTCCGCCCACCCCTCGCAGGTGCTCTTCCTCCCCAGATTCCAGGGCTACTAGCTTCAGGGAAACCCCAGCAGAGAGAAGGCACTCCACACCCACTCCGTGCTCACTCTCTCACTCTGTAAGCCTTCGCTAGATGCACTCTGGGCCACAAGGAAGAGCAGGAGCTCAGCGCGGGCTTATTTCCCCAAGGTCACTGCCACTTTACAAAATGCGGCCCCACCAACCCTAATCTCTTTCATATCAGGGACTCCCACCACTGTCATCACTGTATTTAATATAGACCAACACACAAGGGATCCTCTTTTGAACAAAACGATTAAACCAGCAGGTAGCATGATTTCAAAGCGTATGTATGGCTTCTAAAAATTTCTTAAGTTCTAGTGACTCGTATCTTTCTGGCCAAGCAAAAGTGCCCATTTTTCTTCTTCCCACCTGGCTGCTCTCTTTTGGGAGTGTAAGCCACCACCTCTATCCGCTGGACACATACTTTCAGATGTGTTCTATATATCTGAAGAAGAGACGGGTTTGGAATGACCTAAGAAAGAAGACTAAACAGCACTTTAATTCTCAAGGGTCACAACAACATTGACATGAGTGGGCAGATGACTCAAGGATTAACTAAGACTGGGGAACTAGGAAAGAATTCTCAGGTCTTGCGACTTCAACCCAAAGTCAACTCAGTAAGGCCTGCTTGTGGCGAAGGCCAGAGTGTCTGGCTTTATTATCAAACCAGAATTTCTTCAGAAACTCATTTTTTAGGTGCCGGTCTTCAGGTTGTCCCTCAGAGGGCATTCTGGCAGGAGCTGTCTGCAAGGGAGGGAGCGCAGGCACCAGCCAAGGGACACAGCCCGATGCTGCCTGTGTGTGGTCAGACTGAGTTAACGTCCTCCTGCTCCCCTATGTGGTCCTGTGAAAAGATTGATTGACTTGTCTCCACTCAAGTACAGTCTCCTGAGAGTGTGCGGCAGAGGCCTTCGGGGGAAGAAAGCCAAGCAGATTCATTCAAAGGCCCCGTCTTTCACGTCTTTTCATAGACATGAATCTTTTGTCTCAGAACTTTACCCACCAGGAGCTGGATGCTAACTTAGGAACGACACTGGTCCAACTAGCTTTTTTTTTTAAGCCTCAAAACCCTTATCATCAGAAGAGATTTTTGGTGGCATCACTCAGAGTCTCAGCCAGTCAGAACCAACTTCTGGAGACAGCCAAGGCCCTTTTCCTCCCCTTTCTTTCTGGCCACCAGCCTCACTGCTAACTGCACCCTCTGAGCACTTAAAATGCAGAGTGGGTGGCAGGCACAGGTCCTGGCAATGCCTCCAGGTCTGCCCTGTGGTCCAGTGCAGCCCAGAACCAAGCTGGTGAGACAAGAGAGAAGTCTGAAAACATGCTGAATATCACCAGCCATCACAACCACGATGACAGAAAACAAGTGAATCCCTGGGCCCTTTGAGCCAGTTATCTTGTCTTTCCTCCCACAGCTCTTTGTGACACATTTGCTATGCAGAGGATGAGTTCCAGGGCAGGCTTTGGGGTTCACAGTCATGGGCCTATCCCACAAGGCTTGCTCTCTTGAAGTGAGGGAGATGGAGGTACTCAAAATCCATGCAGTGAAATGCATTTTCCTGTGGCCTCTCTTTGCTGGAAGGCGGCCACAGACAGGCATGGAGTCGTTAGTTAACCACATCGTAGTAGTAATTGCGTAACCGCAGCTCCACTGCTACAAATCCGGGCCTGCTCTCCACCCTGAAAAGAAAAGAGACTGACTAGTAAGTCAACAGCTCCTGAAAACCCACCCATCACAGCTGGGACTTCCAGGCCCCAGTCTAATGCTGCGCCCTCTGGTGGCTTCTTCTGGAGCCTGCAGCTCCAGTCTGAAACATCTACAATGTCAGTCCACCCAAGTATCTAGAACCCTAATTTGCAATCAACAGGCCTCCAGGTGACTCACGTTCACCTTAAAAATGAATAAGTTTTGACCCTCCCTGGTGGCGCAGCGGGTGAAAGCACTGCACTAAGAAGGTGAAACCACTTCCGCATGAGTTCGATTCCCGCCTGCCCCGGAGGTGACCACATGGCGTGGCAGACCTCTCCTGACCCGCCCGCTGCTCCCCTCAGCAGTGTACTTCGTCGATCTGCCTGTTCTGCTCCCCACACTGGTTCTGGTGAAGTCTTTCGCCACCCCTGAGTCTCGACCTGTACCCCAGTTCTGTATGCACAAATAAATAAATTTAAAAAAATGAGTAAGTTCTGAACTTGAAGGCAGAGTCTCTTTAAACTGCAGGTAAGAGGCTCTCTCCTTGTGACCTAGCAAACTGAATGTCTGAAGATATTTGTTTAAAAAAAAATGCAAACACAACTTTAAATTTCCCTCCCCTATGCCAATCAGATTGCTCAGGATTTTCTGAAAATTTCTTATTAAAACTCAGTTTGTTTATGGTTGAAGCAAAGACCCAGGTGTTGACAATTATAAATTTTAACACAGCAAAACCTTATTTTTTGTCACTGCTGGCAGGTGAGGCAGTAGTGGTTAAAAATTTGAACATCTTGGGGCCTCCCTAGTGGCACAAGGGATTAAGACACAGCACTATGAAGCTGTCCACTGCCCCTAAGCTCAAGTTCAATCCCCAGCCAGGGAGCTGACCCACATGGCGCAGCAGACCTCACCTGTCTCCCCCGCTGCTCCCCTCAGCAGTGTGTTTCAGCCAGTCTGCTTGCTCTACTCCCCACCCTGTCTGGTGAAGCCTCTTACCTCCACACCTTTGGCCTACACCCCACCTCTTGCATTCATAAGTAAATAAATCTTTTTAAACTTTTTTTGTTTGTTTTAGCAATTTTCAAACTCTAACCTTTTCAGACATCTCTGCTTTCTCTCATGTGGGAGTGAACAGGGTTGGTGGGAAGCAATTGCTTTTCAACTAAGAATCGAGTTTCAGTTGCAAGCTACTTTTCTTATTTTATAATGTTATCTATCTATCTACCTATCACCTATTTACAAATCTGTCACTGGTGAAGGCGTCTGACTTCACAGTGGAGAAAATGACGAGAAAAGAAACGTCAATAGCCTTCAGGAACATACGGGGATCATTTGCATTCCCTTCATTCAATTCTCTAGATTCTGGATACTTCTTATGCCTCAGAGACTGTGTCCTTTCCTTCTGTGGAGAAACTGCCTCAGCATGGAGGGCTTCCCAAACACCCAAGAGGCAGCACACTGCTGGGCCCTGGGCCCTCCACGGTTTTGAACTCCCATGGGGCTTGTCAGCTTCAGAGGACACACCTGCTTTTTTTTTTTTTTTTTTCCAGTGCTCCTGTTTCCCTTCTCGCCCACGTGAGACCTACACAGCACCCACAGGCGAGAGCAGCGCCCTGGCCTCTGAGTGCAGACAGGGTTTCCCCCAGGCCTTGGCCTCCTGGCAGGAGGTGAGAGAGGAGGTGGCTTCTCTCCTCCCTCCTGGGGACTGAGTATCCGGATTTGTGAGCAGAGGCCAACCTGTCCACCTCTTGGATAAGGACCAGTCACCATGGTGACATTTACTTCCAGCCATCACGGTACGTGGAAAAGGGACTGAAGCAGCCCCCGGCACTCCAGAATAGGGTGGTAATGGGAAAGGGAGCGAGAGTTTGGACCGGGCCACGAGAGGGGGCAGGCGACACTGTTAGAAGCTGTGCGGGTCGGTGGGGTACATTTTGGGTTTCTGAGCTCCCTAGGGGTCCCTGACTTAGGGAGAAAGTTAGGGCAGGAGGAGAAGGCTTGACGCTGAGGATGCTCACGAATAGGGCTGACCGGAAGCACAGCCTATGGGAAGCCGCTGATGGCAGGCTGGCTTGCCGGTCTTGCACGTGACAGAACCGCCATAAACGATGTGGGTGCCACTGCCCTGGTGCTGGGGGCACCCTGGGCGCTGCGCGTATGCCCTGGGCCTGTTGCGCTGTTGCTGGCCCGTGGGGACCCACGGCCACACAGGCCCACCGCCAGGACAGCCGTGCTGCAGTCCCTCACAGTATCGGTGCTGACCACGGTTAGCTGGGTATGACCTCAGTGATGCCGGCCTCCCACTCATGTAAGCTTCTTCCAGTGCAGGTGGCGATTCCAAGGGCCCCTGCCACATGCGGGCCACTTCCTGCCCACTCAGCTCGTCTGACTCCCCACGGCTGTGCTTTTCTCCTCATGAGCCCCACTGCTTCGGGTCTCCTGGTAAAGGCCCCTTGGCCTCCGTGGCAGCACCAGAGGCTCTCTTGGACTCCTTTGACTCTGGTCACACCACCGTCCTCCTGGTGGTTATTTCTGTGTCTCAGTTTTGATATACTGGATTAGAGTAATTCCTAAATTCCTAAGCTTCCCAGACAAGTTACGAGTGCATGGTGCAGGAAGCAAGCTGTCTCCTCTTTTAGCGAGGGGCCCGTATCTGAGTCGCTGTCGGAGACTTTGTGCTTCTGTTTAGTGCCCGGTCACCCCCCCCCCCAAGCCGGGGATCTGGCCAGGTGGCAGACAGTGGCTACTCACTCGTACGTCCAGCACAGATTCATCAGATCGTACATCTCCCTCGGGCAGCCTGCAGGACACCCCATCCTCTCTCCTTTCTCCAGCATGGCTGAAACTTCACTTCCTTTCATTCCCTAAAACATGCAAAAGATATCTGAGCTTTCCGAATGTAATTTAAGGACGCAAAACAACGATCAAGTTCCATGCCCAGAACCCCACAAGAGCACAGACTCATGTGACTGCAAGAATATCAAGAGCCCCTGATCTGTGGCTCAGAGGTCAGGAGAAGGGGAGCCCTTGCAGGCTGGGGCCTCCCGAGGTCTGTCTGTTTCTTCTCGTGGGGGCTGGTTTCTGGGCTGTGCCCCGCTTGAATGCCTCAAGCTGTATCCTAGCATTGTGTACTTTCTAGTATGGATAACCTGATTTCAAAAATCTAAAAACAGTAACACCTACACATTTGACACTGGAAATTGTCATTATTTCTAGATGGACTCTAATGAATGCTGATATAGATACAATTGTTAAGCATATTCATATGTGTAATGCACAGTGAAAAAAATCAGACTGTTCAGGCAGCATCAAATTTCTAACTCAACTTAGAATAAAATGACATGTTAACTGCTCATTGCCAAAAGGTGGCAGAGGACTGCGAAAGAAGCCCTCGCTTTGATCCCAGGGTCCCCTAAAGAGCCTGCGTTTGCCTGTTCTGATGACTCCTAGTTAAGAAACAAAGCAGCAATGGCTCACTCGATAAGGCTTCTGCCCGTAGGAAAATGCTTCCCACATGAGCACCCCGAAGCTCCAGACGTCGCTCTTGCTGGAGAACTTGTAGTAGTTGATGCACTCGGGCGCGTACCACTTAACAGGCCACTTCCCGTGGGTCTGCGCCTGGGGGCCAAGCAAACGAGATGGTCATGGAGAATGAAGTGGAGCGCACATCTCCCGGCAGCCCAGTGGGCAGCTGCTCAGGTGCCCACAGACAGGGCGTGAACAAAGGAGTGTGTCGTGGAGGCTATCCCCAGCCTGGGAGGGGCGGGGGCTCGCCACACCGGCGCAGCATGGGCAGGAGCTGCGCTGGCCTTCGCCCTGGGAGGTGGTGTCCACCGTGGACTGTACCTGCCACCGCTGCCCTCAGAGAGGGTTCGTGCGGCCACATTTATCTCGCCGGTATTTTACAATTCTCAGAGAAGAATGAAAGTAGGCCCCACAAAGTGGACAGCGTGTGTGTACATGTCAGTAATTACAAAAATAGTCTATCTTGCAATCTGAAATTTGAAGATTTAAGTGCCCATTTTTGGGTTCAGATCACATCAGTTTCTTGTACCTTTTAGTCTTTTCTCTTTTGGTCAGTCACAGTTTCCTGAAGCCAATCTTGGTAAGCCCAGGGATGGCGTCTCCAGATGGCCCAGCCACACCTCCCTCTACCACGTTATTAATTTCAGATTTGATTAAAACAGGTGAACAATTCATCACGTCTGCTTTTTGAAGGTGATTTTGAATTCTCAACTGATAAAAACATAACCTCTGGCAAATCCTAAACATGATGAAGATTGAGCCTTTCTCCACCATCACCGCAAAATCCCCATTCACAGAGAGAATAGTGTATGATAATTTTTCTGGAGTTCTCCCAGAAAAATCTATAAAAAGATTAAATGGGTAATATATATCTTTGCGGGGAAGATAGTAAGGTGGGGGGTGGCATACACTTTCTGCACTTTACTTTCAAACTTTTCTGCTTCATGTTTCATAGGCATGCAGATTTCTATGTCTGCAGATGCAGATGAAGTCCCTTTGAGAAGAGTTAATTGCACACTTCATGTAAATCTACCACGGCTGATTTAACCAGCCTCCTACTCAGAGGCCATTAAATAGCTCCCTGATACTTGCTATTGCTCCCCACTCTAGAATGCGCATTGCTGACAGCATGTGCTGGGGTACATGTGGGCCCTTGGGGGGCGCTGCTGGGCCCGAGGGCACCTGTGCTGACTGACTGTCTCATGTTACAACCCCGCAATGCCCCGCATACTCCTCTGGTCTGGGGTCTCCATCATCTGCTTCCACCCCTGTCGCTTCCCTTTACTCTCATTTAACTCTATTCGTTTCCACTTCACTTGGCTTTATTTTTGGAGAGAAATCCAGATCCCCAGCTTCTCAGTAATATTCGGCCTCTTTTTGGTGGCTTCTAACCTGTTTTTTTCCTGTGCACACTGTGATGACCCTTCTACGGTCAGTACTTATATATCCTGTCAGGCAGCTCATGGGAAGCTGCTCCTGTGTCTCGTCTTGCACGCTGACCCTTTGCTCAGGTCTGCCATACATACTACCTGCGTGCCCTGGGCTGCCTGTCAGAGACAGGGTGAGTGCGAGGGGGTGGCCCGGTAGGTAGGCACGCCCCTCCAGCTGCTCCATGGTGTGGAAATTGGGATGAGCCCCTGCAGCCACTGTCTAGTTAGACTTCAGGGTGCACCACCTACTTCTGAGGGCGCTGGGCAGTCTCAGAGACCTGAGCACCTGGACATCTATCCTCTTCTACAAACTGAGACTCGGTTCCATCGTTTGCCAGAGGGTGAGCACAGACTCGCAAACACTGAGGTGTATTTTGTAAGAGACGGGGGTTTTATCTTTTTCCCTTCATTTAGTGGCCATTTATTCATTTGAGGGGTCAGAGAAAAACTCTGAGATATTCCACAAGAATCAACCTGTTGAAACTGTGTTTTCCTAAGTAATTTAATGAAGGGATTCTATCATGTTTGTTTTTTAAGGCATCATTTAGTGCCTTGATTCCCCACTGTTGCAAGGAACATGGTTTGAAAGATACTTTTTGGAGGAAATCTGAGAGCATGAGAAATTGGGGTATTTCCATTTTATAAACAATAGAATCGAAGCATTAATAAGAACATTTTTACACGGCGATTTTTAAATAGTTAAACTGCTTATTGAATCCCAACTATAATAAAATAAACATACATTTGCCTTTTAAGTTTTCATGACCTTCTGTTCTGAATATTGGCTAAATAACTCCTACCTTGTAGTAGTTTTCATCAGCACGAAGTGCTTTGGAAAGTCCAAAATCACTGATCTTGGCATAATGCTGAGTAACCAGCAATACATTCCTTGCAGCCAGATCTCTGTGCACAAAATTGCACTCCTCCAGGTATTTCATTCCCATAGAAACCTGATGAACCAGCTCTATGATGTTCTTATCCTTGACATGCCTGCAAGTCACAATGTGTCATTAGTCATTGGACAGAAATCCATTCCAGAACAACCGGCCAAGCTCCTCCTGCAGACAGAAGATGCACCAACCACTCTCCTGATCTTATATGGTAATCATGACCACTGGTAAGTAACCTTGCTAACCCATAGCTGTTCAAGACCGAACACCATTCTTCTGGTGTTCAAATGGTATGATTATCAAATGCAGTAAAACGCAGATGTCAGACCCTGCTCATGGAGAGACTGGTTTCAGTTCAAACCCTTGTTTCAATATTGACTGTCAGTTTTGTACTTGTAAGGGTATATGGGGTGAGGTGACAGCACCCCCTTCTCTAAAGATGTTGACCCAGTCTAAGTGAAGCTCAAACACAGTGTGGCAAATGGGATGCTTTACACAGTGACGGCTGTCTGGACTTTCCTGCGTGGGCTCCCTCTCTCGACCAGGGTGGGGTGGAGCACAGTGTGACTACGCCATAGGGGTCTGATCAGCGAACAGCACTGCGTATTTCAAAGTAATTATGGGAACACAGAGATCGAGCAGCCATGTAAGACACCACTGCAGCCAGATCTCTGTGCACAAAACTGCGGGAACATGATAAAATGCCTATTTAATATTAAAAAGAGTGAAAGGAGAGGTCGCTTGTTAAGATATTCTTTAGGCTATCACCCAGTCAACACAGGGTGAGCAAAGGGAAAGAATGAGAACCAACTTGTTGATTAGAGCTTTTCTCTGAACACTGAGAAATAAAAGAGCCTTTGGCCTAAAGTCTATGACGGTCTTCCCTCCTCCTTCCAAATCCTGAAAGCAGATGGACCCTGGGGAGGTGTGGGGGGAGGAGCAGATGGATCCTGGTTGGGGGGTGTGGGGAGAGGAGCAGATGGACCCCGAGGGGTGTGGGGGAGAGGAGGCTCCCTGGAGAAGTCAGGCTACCGTGGGGGTCTGGCAGGGGTCCCGCGGCTCAGCATTAGCTTCCGAGCCACCTGAGAACCTGCCTGTTCTGCTGTAAGTATTTATTAAGGGGGCCGAGTTCTGCCATCTCCATCACCAGCATCCAGGACTCGGCTTCGCAGATCCCGATCATGCGCACGATGTACGGGTTGTCTAGTTGCTGCATGACGTTGGCTTCTGCTAGTAACTCATCTTTCAGAGCAGGGTCGTTGGCCTCGTTTTTCAGAATTTTCACAGCCACTGTTTTTACGACTCTGCAAAAGAAATCAGAATATGGCTCACTTCCAGGTAAATCTCCCACGAAAAATAATTCCTGTGCATAAAATGGTGTTTGGAAATACCTGTAGTGGAATGGAAATGCGCCTGAAGAAGCCATAGCACACATTTTCTAGCACGTTCTCTCATTATATAGACAAAGATCAACACCTCCTTAGGGAAAAATAATAGGAGTTGTGTGGACTAGGAGTTGTGTGGACTAATGCCCCCGTCAATGGGAAAGTCTAAATTGCAGAACATTTAAGTAGCTTTCAAGCAAAACTTACATACACGGAATTCTGCAACATCTTGCAGTTTACCATCTCGGTTCAGGTGCAATGTATGTGAATATCAGTGTTCTTTGATGTTTTCTTAAAATAAATCATTATTTAGAACAATTCTCTCAGAAAAGTGGAAATAGAGGGACATTTCCTTAACCCTAGAAAGAGCAAGTACCAAACTATAGCTAACATCATGCTTTATGTGAAAAATTTAAAGTTTCCCCCCAGAAATAAGGAGTAAGAAGTGAGGCTACCATCACTTTTATTCAATATCTAACTGCAGTTACTGGCTCATATGGTAAGCCAAGGGAAAAATCAGAAAAGTGTGACAATTAGACATGATGCAGTAAAACTGTTCTTACTCATAGATGACTTACTTCTGGGTCAAGAATATATAAAGTTGTAGAAACAATAAAAGAAAATATTAGGAGAATTTAGCAAGATTATTGGGTGCAGGTCAAATGAGCTCTCCACACACAGCAGTGTCAGAGATGAGAAGATAACATTTGAATATGATAACATACACATATACATTGAATTGATTAAATATCTACAAATGAAGCTAGCAAAAGAACTTGTATAAACCTTTACACACAAACATAAACAACTCTGCCAGAGAAACCCATGATAACGATTACCATGGTAAAGCAGAGCACTTGGTACTGTAAGGACATCATTCTACTCCAGGCTGACCTATAGGGCCACTCATCTCTCCAAATCCTCTAGCTGAAATGATATATCTATAGTCATGTCTATGCTAATTCATATAACTAATTAAATGAGAAATTTAAGTATCATAAATTAGGTGAAATAAAATTTGCATTTAGACTTGAAAAGTTATGTTGACTCAAGTGATTGTGATATACATACATATATTCATATATTCAAAAATAAGCACACCTGTCAGTTTAGTGTATGTACATATATTTATACACATATGTAGATGAGGGAGGATCAAAAGCAAGAGTCTCTGTGCTTAGCTTCTATATTCTATATAAGAATATGTCTATATTCTTAATCCATAGATCATGTAATTATCTTAGAAAGAAATTCTACAAAAAGTTGCTCAAATTTAAAATCGCATGACACTTCACCATATTCATATCAGTAACATGCAAACTAATGCATATTTAGAAGGTTCGTTTCAAAGACCTTTGGAAACCATTATTTTTTACTGAACATTCTATGCATTCTAAAGAGCAAGTGAAGCATAAGAAATTTTCATATTTAGCAATTCCTATATTAATATAATATGTATTATTATTTGAAATTGTAGGATAAAGCAAATAAATATTTATGCTGACATATTACAATTTCCTGGGTTAAAGAAATGAGACACAATAAAAAAGCCAAAGCAAGTAAGTGAACATACTGCAATTTATCAGTGGATGATTATATTTTAACTAACTATACAGATGTGTATGTGTGTGCCTATAATCATGTCAAAATATAGCTGCTGATATTAGGTAACAGAGCAGTATTTGAGTGGTATAGCTGGAATGCTTTCAATTTCTTACCATTTGCTTGTTTCTATTTTTTTTTTATTATAGTAGTTTGTTTTTACATCATTTTGTATCTTTTCCCATCTCAGCTGTAGTCCCCGTACACTTCCCACCACCAATTCACCTGTGTGCCATCACTATAGTCCTGTGCACTCCCTCATCCAAGTTTCTGTTTTTTAATTCTCTTTAAGGTACATGTACTACATCTAACCTAAAGTAGATAACTATAACTATATATATATAACTATATATATATATATACATAATGGATGCTTTTATTACAATTGCTCCAGAAATGAACAGAAATTATAGTATTAATAAAAAAGGATTTCCACGATAGGCCACGTTTGGTATTGGGGGCTAAACGTATGTAACACACACACACACACACGGAGACCGGGGATCTGAACAAACATGACGTGACGCAAAGCCACTTACTTTTTCATCTGGTAGTAGCCCTTCTTCACAGTCCCAAAGTTGCCAGAGCCCAGTTCCTTTTCCTCCAGGGTCAGCAGACTCCGGTCCAGGTAGACCTCCTTGGGCCTGATCTCCTCAGGGTCCGCATAGGGGCTCTCGTACACCTCGGTGTCCATGGGCAGGGCTTCTCTCTGGGCATCTGGGGCACCGCCAAGAAACACAGCATGGGACCGCACGCTCCCGGATGTCCCTGCACCTCCTCTTCCTGCCTCCTGTGGCCATGCCTTGCCTTCCCCAACCCTGTGTCACCTTGGGCAGTGGGGGTGCCTAAGCACTCAAGGCAAGACGTCCCCCCACTCACGGGGGCAGTAAAACCCCTCATCCTTGTGATGCCTGCCCTCCATTCTTGGGCACTGAAATTGGTATAAAGGTAAGCCAGGTGTATGCTGGCGGCCATGGTGGCTTTAAGCTATAACTGAACATTCTCTGACATACCTCCCTGGAGAGGCCGGGTCTCTGTCGCCTCCGTGGTGAATTCTGTAAGGGTGCCGAGCACCAGAGCACCTCAGAGTGATGTCCTGATCTACTCTGGCAAGACTGTAAGGGCTCTGTACCTGCTGGTTTTTTTTTTTTTTACTGAGAAGCTGGCTTTCACTGCAGGGCTGTGCTGACAGTGATGCCTTCCACAAAAGGAGCATTTAGAGAACCCAGACTTAGGGGAGACAGGTGACTCTGGCGGCCTCCACGGCCACTCCACTGCTCTGGGGCCTGGCCCAGGCCGCCAGTCCCCACGTGACAATGGGAGACCCTGAGCCACAACCACCCACCTCGCTGTGCCCTGGCCAGATTCCAGCTCCCATCGAGATAACTAAACAGAGGTAGTTAACTATTTATTACTGTTTTAAGCTGCTACATTTTAAGAATGATGATGATGATGATGATGATGATTTTAGCAATAAACAGATTGAGTTTGGCAATAAAGAAATAACGTGGGGTCACTAAAAGAATCTTCACAGTTGTGCAGAGATCACATCTCTAAGAGCAAGTCTAGAAATGGTGACTGTGTTCACTGAGGACATGGTTTCCTTTGGCTTTTCGAGATATCAGTCAAGTCCTCATATACACCTAGAGTCCAGCAACTCGCAGACATCCCACCAGCAACCTAGCACTGCGCTTTATGCTGAACATACTACTGGACACAAAGATGCTTCCAAGAACATAACCTTCACGGGCATGTTTGCTTTGGGCCATATCAGTACTACAGGCAAGAAACTCAGAGGCAGCATGTCAAGTATGGCTCATCTACCACGAGGAGGCCTGCAGGCAGTCCCTCCTGACCACGCCGCCATCCACAGGCCGTGACACCTGCTCCCTGCTCCACACAGCAGCGTATCCCCGGGAGCTCTTTCTGGCAGTGGGGTGAAGGAGCCAGTCAAGCGTAATTTCCAAGTGCCCCTGGAAACTGCCCCTGTGCTTGGGGTCCAATGACTAAAGCTCTTCTCACCTCGTTCCGCGGCCCAGGACCCTCCGTCCGGCTCGTAGGGGTTGAACGTGCTCTCCGGTCGGTTCCCAGGGGATGAGGTCTGAGGACACAGATAACATAGGTCACTTCCTCATGAACGCAATGTTGAGATGATCTGCATAAGTATTTTTATTTTGAGGTAATTATAGTGTGATTTTATGCAGTAAAACAAAGGTAAGGATTAGAAGGCAGGACAAATAGCGGCATGGCTTATCTCATTCTTCGGGCAACTGCTTGGGCCTTGTGTGGGCTGTGGAAGGGTCAGGCCCCTCCGGCTCAAGGGGCCTGCCAGCATCTCAGAGTGGGTGTGCGAGAGAATTAACCCACTGTTCAGGTAGAATTCCTCCCTCGCTATCATCCCCTTCTACCAAAGGATGTGGGGGGCATTCGGGGGGTTGTTATTCCCTTAGACTCATATTCCTCTGTTAACTTTTTCTCTACCAGTTTATATTATATGGGAGTTGTAGTGGGTTGTTTGAAAAGTCCTGACACGTGTAGGCTTGAAAAACTACATCCTGGCTTTTCCGATAACCCAACAGGAAAAGAAGATACAGAACTACCAATGTTTCCATCCACTCCTCAATTCCAAAGCACCTCTGCATTTCTATGTCCACCTGTACCTTTAATATAGGGGAGACTTTAATATAGGCAACACTTGGTGGTGGCCCAGGACACACTGGCAGGGAGCTCTAGTCCCCAACGGGAAGGCTGCTGAGGCCAGCCCGGGGCTACGTCCACATGACCACCCTCACCATCATCTTCACCATGGAACTTGTGCAGTAGGGAAGTCTGACTTTGCTAATCCGAAGGAAGGTAATTAATTCTTCCTCATCTGGAGCAGGAAACTAAAGCATCTTAAAACAAGGCTTCGCTAGTGGTTATTAATGGCCACCTTCCCAATTATTATTTGACCAACATCAATTTGCACCATGTAATAACGGGAAAGTGTCCGTCCACCCTCTGTCGTCCTATTACTTTCCCTGTTCGAGTTTCTCAGCTCTTCCTGATCGATTTAACTGAAAACAAGCTTATTGCTCCTAAAAGTGTTGGTCTAAGGGAAAACTGGATAGTTTCAACAATTGGTTCTTGTTGTTTTGGTGAGAGCTAAACAGAAATCCCTATTTCCACTTATTTCTCAAAGCCCAAACACTGGCCACGAAGAAATGAGATACTGCCAGATTTTGGTGACACTGAAAGAAACAGAGACAGTAAGCTCACTCTTACGCGGGCACTTCGTTTCCAGCACACACACGGCCCTGTCTGCCCGCCCGGAAGCAAAGCACTGCAATGCAGGCCCAGGCGCCGTCTCCAAAACCTTGGCTTCCTCCATAACGTCTGCCAGAACCACAGAGCCTGCTCCCAGGGCAAAGGCCCTCTGAGAGGGGCACCGATGGCATGTCCTCGGGGCCATTTCTTCACAGGCTACCCCAGCATCCCCATAATGTATGATGAATGAAAACAGAACACAAAAGCCACAGCACTGCTATCTAGCCACGGATAGAGCTCCGTAGCGCTCTCTGCTGGTGAGCAACGAAGTGAGTCAAGGGTACCCAGAAGAAAGTTTTAGGAAAAAAATGGGAAGCCCGCTGATATGTCAATTAAAAGGGCAGTGGTTGGAATTGGAAAAACATGGAAGCAGCCCAAATGCCCAAAAGTAGATGACTGGATAAAAAAGATGTGGTACATATATACAATGGAATATTACTCAGCAACCAAAAAAGAGAAACACATGTCTTTTGCAGCAACTTGGATGGAGCTGGAAAAGATCATGCTTAGTAGATAAGCCAGAAAGAGAAAGAAAAATACCGGATGGTGTCACTCATAGCAGGAGTATAATGGGCCAGGCGAGAAAATAACAAAAATAATGAACAACCATATACCAGAGACATTTTGTGGGGGTGGAGTGGGGAATGGGATCAAAAACGGGGTGGGGGGAGGGAAATGCACGGGACTATGGTGATGGCACATGGGTGACTTGGTGATGGGAAACCCGCGGGGATTACAATCGAGATGGAAAAAAAAATGTACAAAATGATGTAAAAATAAACTTTTGTAATAAAAAAATTAAAAAGAGAATGAAAAAAAAAAGGAAAGAAAAAAAAAAGGACAGTGGTTGCACAGGTTAGTTGTCTTATGATGAAGGTGCAGATACAACCCATAGATTCCACCTTTCTCAAAATGCTCAAAGATTATGCCATTGAGAGTAACAAATTGTAAAGAATGAGCTCTAAGATGTAACAATGTCACAAAAGGTTTGATTAGTGCTTAAATTTAGTACTTTAATGTAAGTACTTGATTTTAGTACTTAATTTTACTTTAATGAAAAATACACTGCTGATCCACATTATCCCTTGTGCTTTGTATTTATTATTTATTCTGCTTTCATCGTTATTATCTTTTCTCACAAAGAACAACATGTAAAATAAAATGTTGATGGCTCCTCCCCCATCTTTACTAATGTTCAGAACAGAGGTCATGACTGCAGACACCACTAGGTGGCACTAGCTACTCTAACTTTCTACTTTTCGAAAGGGTCACAGATGATTTTTCTATAAATGTGATAGATTCAGGTAAAACAAAGCACCATGGACTATGGTGGATTGTATTTTCATGGTGGGTGTGGTGTGGTAACAAAGACTGAGGAGGGGACCCTCTAAAATAAAGACAACACTGCAAACCAGTTACCTCAATAAAAATAGTTAATTAAAAATAAATAAAGTTAATTTACTTCTAGGAACAGAAATTATGCAAATCAAATACAGGATAATTAAAACCAATCCCTCCATGATAATGAAAAGAAAAGCATGTCCCTGATGTCTTACTGGCTAGGGCTAACTTCAAATAGAAAATGTATTTGACAAATATTCTTAAGAGTACATGCTTGTGTTTAGGAACTAGGGAACTCAGAAGTGGACAAAAGAGCAGGACATTACTGTTCCTAAGGAGCTGACAGACTAATTCAGTTTTCTGATTAGGGAGAACTGCTGCACGTCCTAAGATGCATTTCCTAAACCTTAATTTTTACGCCCAGTCATCTTGCAAGACGTTGTCTAATTAGACAGCAGCATACTGTCACAGTGGCAGTGACAGGAGAGCCAGCAGGGTTCAGAAACACAGCATGTCACCAAACCTCCAAGTCCAGACCGTGAGCCCGGAGGCCACTGAGTCAGGCCAAGGAAGACGCCCTTGGTCAGGGCGCAGAATACTCAAGCTTTGACTCAGTTGCTCACCTTAGGAGCAAAGGTCTAAGATCTAGTGCTTTATAATGGGGTGGTAACCCATTTTCTCACAGGTCTGGCCCAGAGCTATAAGAACACTTGACCAATTAGAGGGGTCACCTAAACTATTCTGCTCCCTCTTCTCCAGGCTAGCCCTGCTAAATCATGCATTTAAATATGTCTTTATGTATTCAATCATCAGCATATATGTTGGAGCAAAACTTGAAAATGTGTTTCATTTGGAATTCTGGAACACATTTCCACATCTACGATAAATATGTCTTGGAGAAGGTGGCTTTGAAATATGAAACTTTCAATCTGCAAGGATGCTGTTCAAACTCTGCCAATTTTCTTTAATAGAGGGACAGGTTTATGGACTTAGAGAAACATTCTAATACAATTAAGAGCAGGATTTCATGAATTTGAGGATTACCTGTGCTTTATCCCTCCTCTCTTGCCACTGATGCCCGATTATGTTGAAAAGAATGTAGTAAGTCATCAAAAAAAAAAAACAAAACCTTTTTATTTTCCTCAATCTTACGCAAAGCAGGAAAATGTACCCTATGTAAAGATTATTGTCTCAAAAAGAAAAGTAGTGTTACTGACTTTCAAATTCCTTCTCATCAAATTCCTTCTCATCTTTACCTACATCAATTTACAGCCTGTGTGGGAAATCTACTGCCATAAAGAAGTGATCGGGCACCTGATGCCTGTAACATGCACGGTGCTGGGTACTCACTGGGCAGGACACACAGAGCCTCAGTCCTGCCACCTGCTGGGATCTGTGTCACCGTCACCATAGCACTGCAACATATGGTTCTGGCAATTCAACAGCAGCCTGGCTCACTTGGAAAAGACTATGCCACAGAAGAGCTACTCCCAGCCAGGTCAGCCTGCAACGACCCCACTTCAGCAGCGAGCACGCTCCCGGCCAGCAGAGGGAGCGGGACCCACAGGGAAAGCGCAGGGAACATCAGGCCACTTGGAGACACAGCCCAGGGGAGTGAGACAGTGCACAGGGAGGCAGGCAGGCACCTGCCTCCCTTAGTCAGGGACAGCAAGCAGGGAACGTTTTAGCACCTTTCTGTGGCCAGACTTGGAAAAGGAGTATGATATGAGTCTTGAGAGTATTCCACCCGCTGACCAGGCCTGGAAACCAAAACGGTAGAGAGGAACAGTAAATGTTTGAGAAAACAAACACAGCTCGATTATAACACATGATAACATGACTCGATTATAACCACACAGCTTCCCTTCCAGATTCTGCCGATGGGATTTACTCTGAGCTTCACGGGGGTGCTGGGAATGCTGGGAAAATATTTGGGTGACACTTTCCGGGGGGGGGGCTACACAGTTAGAACTGTTACTTTAAAAAATACGTGTTTCAGGCCCTCCCTGGTGGCGCAGTGGGTTAAAGCACAGCACTAAGAAACTTAAGCCACTTCAGCATGAGTTCTATCCCCGCCTGCCCCGGAGGTGACCACATGGCATGGCAGACCTCTCCTGGCCCACCTGCTGCTCCCCTCAGCAGTGTATTTCGTCGATCTGCCTGTTCTGCTCCCTACTCTGTCTCTGGTGAAGCCTCTCACCCTCCGCATCTCTGGCCTGTACCCCAGTTCTGTATGAATAAATAAATAAATCTTTAAAAAAAATACATGTTTCATATAGAATTATGTTACAAACTCAAGACAAATTTTCTTATTTCTTAGGGTTCTGGTTACATGCTCTTGGTGAAATTTCCTGAGAAGTTCACGGAGAACACAGCATTTCTTTCCTGAGTGAATTTCACCAGTTAATGAAATATTTTCCCAAAATATCTAGCTTCTTGAAGCCCCTTGTGGCTCAACATAAAGTAATACCCTTTAAAGTGTTCTCAACCCTAACTCCTCATCAGCCCCAGAGGAGAATGGACCTGTCTCTGGCACCTACAGCTTTAGTTAGGCGGGCCACGAGAAGTATAAGTGATATCTCTGCAACAGAGCTGCACTTCAGATGGTCTGCAAGTCCACTGGGATTTTAGCAAATTCAAATCCCCCAGTCTGGTGCCCAGGGCTGGCTGCCAGGGGCTTCAACATGGCATAGCAGTCAGGGGTTGTTCAGGGGAAAGAACACCCACTCCACTCTGTCTGCAGATTTTGTGTTTAAAAGATTAACAGGCCAAACGCAGGTGCAGATGGCACAGCTGGTGATGGGGTGTCACAACTCGCAGACAGCATGAATGGGCATCAGAGGCCAGACTGAAGTCCCTCCAAAAGAAGTGGGAAAGCCAGGCTCGCTTTGAGTATGTCTGCACCCAACATCTAGCAGTCTACAGCGGGTGGAGAGGGGCGATTTAGCTCTCTGTGGGGGCATCAGGCAGGCACGGAATGAATGAACCCCTTTGGAGAAGTGTGGTCAAGCCATGTTCCCATGTCCTACTGACATGGAAGGGGAGGGGACGCCTGGCCACACGCCTAAATGCATCCTTCTCCAGGGGCTTCTCTCATCTGATACCAATAAAATCCCACCCCTCGTCTTCCTCTGCTGTGCTTTCACAAAACAGCTCTCCCAGGAAGGTCAAGTCTTCTGATAGCGATGCCTGGGGAATTTCGACCAAAAGTGTTGGGCTGACATAAGACAACTCTTACACGTTACCAGCACACACGTGGTGAGGTGGTTCGTGCACAGTGGTCCATATAACCGGCTCACTGGAGACTGAACAGTGGGGTATTGTGCCCCAATCCAGCTGGAGGAATATTTCTGACTTAACATTGGGCTTTAACGTATTTTGCATGTGTTCAGAAAGTGGGGAGAATTTAATCAGGAAACTAAGAAAGCTTGGTTAGCATAGAACTGAAAATAGTCTCACTTTAGCTGACACCATCATTTCGGTTTATCGAGGGTAATTAAAAAATAACCATGACAACTCCACCTACAGGCTAAACCATGTATATGCTGCCTACAATTGCTTCACCCTTAGTGTCTTCTAAGAACACTTACCGCAGGATGGGAGCTTGGAAGCTGGGGACGAGTTCCAAAATTAACATTTCCTGGTTAGAAAGAGCATGGACAGTTACTGCATTACTGCTAGGTGGGCGTTCACCCACCCCCACTGCAGTCCAACCCATGTGACTGTAAAATATTACTGCTCTACAAGTAGCTACTTTTTCTGCACATATTTCTTTTTCTCTTCTTGCATTCCAATTCTCATGTATATAATTAAAACCCATACTTTTTTAAGTTATAGGTTACTTTAGATTCATGATATATATATATCATATATATCATATATATATATATATGAACTTGAAAGATCTGACATCATTTTTAATCAGTTAAAATAAGGTTGATCTCACTTGAGTTTGCAACAAACCAAATATCAAACAAGGCTGATGATTGTCAATAGTTTAAAGACCGTGGCTCTGATTTCTGAATGACTCACCTGCTTGCCCGATTTTCTGACATGGGACAGTGAGAACTCTCAACAAACCATCTGGTTTATAAGAATAATGCTCAACTAGCTGGAAGAGAAGAAAATCAAAATGTGTCATAAGTTACAGAGCAGAAATAATTTCCTCCAGAGCAGATGATTTTAAAAGTGATACATGCACAAATGTGTCCAACAGGACATGCCACTCCCATGTTCCTCCTGGCCTTTCTCAGACCTCCCCTCCCACCAGGGACACACACACACACACATCTTCCTTCAGGACTCTATTCTCCTTTTGGCTCGTCTCTTTCCTCCTTTGCTGTTTTTTCTTCTTGGGGTAGCATGTTGCATTTATTTGTTGTAGGCTCCCACATCCATGTGATATTGTGCAGGTGAATTCAGCATGCTAACATGCACTCAACCGGCATTCTGAGACAGGACAGAGGTGAGCTAAGGTAAATGAGAATGTTTCTTATCCTTGATGGGATGTTGTGTTCGTGGATCACAACACACAGAGTTTAATACTACAACAGTGCTGCAGGTGAAGGATTTGAAGGGAACCAAAGTTCTTCCTGTTCTGGTAAACGCGATGGTGTATTCTCAGGTGAAGGCTACTAAGGTTCTTTTTTTTTTTTTTAATATAATAGTTTATTTTTACATCATTTTGTGCATTTTTCCATCTCAGTCTAAGGTTCTTACAATAGGTGAGACCCCCACTCCACTCCCCCGCTCCACCCACTTCTCCAATTGTCACCCAACCATCTCCTTCAAATGCTTCTGTTTTACACAATCTACAAGAGAGGTTGGGAAAGTGGATTTTCCTTTTAAGCAAGAGTCTTGTAAAAATGGTCTAGAAAGTGCCAGGTAGTATCAGCTTTTTCAGGTCAATGCCACCTCTGTCACTTAGTCCTTTATTTATGTTTGAATAACCCGTTAAATTTTAAAAGCCATTTTACTCAAGTTCTACATTAAAACAGGCAGGGGTCAGTTGGGTCAGTTTGCCCTGTGGGTCTGCTGAACCCACAGCAAGAGCACTGGACTAGAGTAGCAATTACCAACTCCCAGGTAAACAGCACTGGACTGTGGGGCAGGCAGGGAACACAGCTCCTTGCCTTACTTCCAGGACAAAAACAATGGAATCAAGTGTCAAAATGGATGCTACCGCTGGCATTTCTGATGCTCTTTTTCAATATAAAGACTAAAAAGTCTTAATGAGGGCTGAAGATGGATAAGTCAGAGCAATCAGCAACTTTGTGAAAGTTCTGGGAAGGTACTTCACAGCAACTAGAAGTGCAGTCTGATGCTGGCTGCACAGACTTTGACACTGAAACAATAGTCATTCAGGAGACGCTGAATGGTTGTGCACTTGAAGCTCATGGTTTCCAGTGCTGCCATGGCAGCTGGAAGCTGAGTGCCTTTAGATGCATGCCTTCAGGGATTTTTTAAAAAGATTTATGTATTTATGCATACAAGAAATGTGGTACAGGCCAGAGGTGCAGATGGTGAGAGGATTCACCAGAGACACAGTGGGGACAGAACAGGCAGATCTACTGAAGTACACTGCTGAGGGGAGCAGTGGGCAAGACAGGAGTGGTCTGCTGTGCCCTGTGGATCAGCTCTCAGGCTGGGGGTCCAGCTCATGCTGCAGTGGTTGCGGAGAGCCTCACAGTGCTGAGACTTAACCCATTGTGCCACCAGGGAGGCTTTACCTTGAAGGATTCTTGTAGGGGAATTTGATGGGAAACTAATACCTGAAGGCAATATCTTATTCATCTCTGTGCTTTGCACTGGGCAATAGTCCTGAAAGGCTATAAATGTCACTGAAATAAAGCAAATAGTCATAATGCTGATGAGCCAAAAGATGAAAAACCGGTGTTACGACTATACAAGGAAAGACCCAGCATTCAGAAAAGAAAGTATTGTTTTTCAAATGTGGCATTAGGAATCCACATACATGAGGTGAAAGTTACTTCTCATGCTTTGGTAGTGAGAAGGTTTGCTGGTCTCCACTTTTGAAACAGGCTTTTGAGTTGGGTCCATCACTGGCTGACACCAGGATGGTCATTTCCTCCAGGGTCAGCTCCTGTGGCTGCCATCTAAAGACAAACTGTTCATGTCCAGAGCAGGCCAATGGGAAGCAGGGGTGGGACTCATCAGTGCCTCAGGAACTCCCACTTGGGAGCAGTTTCTGGTTCACTGTCAGTCTGGTCAAGAATAAGCCCTGTCAGAGCAGGGCTGAGGCACCCACACAAGTGTGTCTGGGCCATGCTGACACTTTGTAAGTCACCTTAATTTTCAGGGAGACTCATTCTGCAGTGAGAATGGTGCCTGGCAGTGTAGGTTCAGCTTGGCCTCTAGTCACAGGAGTGGTTGGCTGTCTCCAGGCCACCTTCCCGGCCCTCCATGTCTTAGTTTTGTGTGCAGTTGTCTGAAAAGCAGCTCAGGAGCCAGTTAGAAGGTTCTAGAGAGATACTTTCCAGACCCAGGGCAGTGTCTCCTATTAACTGCTGACAAAATTCTTGACCTGTACTGCCGTGGTGACCCATACTGAGTGATCCTGGGAAGACTGTGGAACCTTCCAGAGCCTTGTCCACTGGACCATCCTTTCTCACACTTGGTGTGAGGCATCTGGAGGTTGAGGGGATTGGGTAGGTTCTAACAAGCTCCAGGCTTGGAGGACCATGCTTACCTGCCAGAGTGTGTCAAACTTCTTCCCATCGGGGATGGAGAGCTTCCCTGTTTTGTCCTTATCGATGCGGTAGTGCAGTACCTTTCCTTCATGCAGCAGGCACAGGGCATAGGACCCATGGTTGTCCCTGGCCCTGATCCTGGAAGAGAGGAAGCAGCCTCGTGAATCCCGCCCTG